AAGCAACAAGTCCGTGGTGCAATTATAGAGTGAAAAAGGTAATGATCAAAGGTCCCGGGTTCGAATCTCGGGGGTTTCAACCCTTCAGATTGGGTATGACTGGCTGATAACAGCTAAGAAGCCAGAAATAGCCATTCCGATCTCCCTTTGCTTTGTAGGATCCATTTTAACGAACTGTCTGTCTACAAATAGCGCAGAATAAAAAAAACGGTGAATGTAACGGTAATCCACGCAGGCACTCGTAAGTTCACTTGGGGATATTAGAGAAAAAAGGAAGATTGAGAAGCCTGACATAGGCGACCTACATCTGCCAGCATGATACGCGTTTTGGCAACGTCAACAGGCGTCGTAAATGCACCCGCCACTGCTCCGGCCACAAAACCACAAAAAGTGAATTGGGCTTTCGTGAGGTCCTCCGGGTGTGCCTTGATGGAGGGATCAGACTTGCCAGAGAGGCGCTGTTGTTTGGAACGGTTATGGGCTGCGAAGAGTTTCTAAACCAAAAGATAAGCATTTTGACCATGATCACAAAGGGAAGAGTGTCAAATATTATTAAACAATCGACCTCCCAAATGGGAGCTAGAAATAGTGCCGCCGCGGGATATATTACCACATTTACGCAGACGTTGGCTATAGGACACGCTGATAGATTAGGAGACGAAGTTTTAAAAAATAGTGTCTTACACTAAAGAGTAAGTGCCACTCAAAAGCTGACACAAAGTAGGCTAGCATTCAGGAGAAAAGCTAAAATCTGCGGTTAAACTGGAGGTCGAAGTTGCGACTTTAGAATGTGCTCATTTCCACGGAGGCATCTCTATAAAATAATAAACGAAAAACACTACAACTTGGATGACTAAAATAAGAGAGGAAATTGGATAGGTATACACACCTTTATGAACTCCCACACAGGGAACTGGATAAGAGAACTGGGCAATTCCCGGAACATTGTGCTTAAAAAACCCCGGTAGAGACCTCGCCAACCCTAAAAGAAGGATTCAAAACAGAAATAATAAGTTTGATCACAAATAAGATACTCAAGGACATTCTGTGAAAAAGTAAAATACTGTAAAGAAAGTAAGCACTGTTTCGGTGAACTTTCATTGTTGCACGACACAGCTCATCAATAAGTTATCTCCTCCCCAGTATTCCTCGTATACGTCCTGGTAGATACTCCAATTTTTAAGTTCAACCTTTTCTAATCTCGTACCGGATTAAATCAAATATTTATTTCCTTATACATCGAAATACTGGTAGATCACTCCGTACATCGATTTATCGTAAGGAAACATATTCAGGGTTTATCCTATACCGTGAAAGTAACCACTCAGTACCTCAAAAGTGGAGTTCTGTCTACAGACTCCTTAATCGAGCCAAAACACACTGCTCTGATGAAGAAATTTATGAAACAGAAATGAAATACCTCTTTCAGTTATATTCGAAAAACAGATGTCCACTAAATTTCGTGTTGCTGCATGAAGCGACAAAAATCCTAACAAAAGGGTATTTAAAATGATAGGACCACCCAGACACCAAAACAATGCCTTGACAAACGCTTCCATACAGGAAAAATGTGCCTGAGCTTGTCGAAAGACAACTAAGTAAACAGCAGATACAAATAGAACACCAGCCCGCAATCACTTTACGCACACAGCTGCACACCATAAGGACAGGGTTGGCTACAATAATAGGAAAGGTGTTGTCCACAAGATCTTGTGTGCCAGTTGTGATTCACGTTATTGTGGCAAAACTGGGAAATGCGCTATAACCCGTATACACGAACATCAGTGAGTGGTGAGAAGACGAAAACACTTGCCCAACCAGAAAAGGCCGTGAATTCCTGGAAGCAATGCACTCCGATGAGGTATGCATCAATAGGCATGTCGATTGAGATGCCACATACAAAGTTCTCGGGGACAAAGCTAAACGCGCGCAGACAACCACCGGGGAATGACAAAATGTACGCAACGCCTATTGGCACAGATGTCACCCAATCATAGAATTCTTTGTCAGACAAGGTTTATTCAATTAATTGTTTCTTTACACATCCCATTGTCTGATAACGAGCTGGGGGACCAGCCTCAAAAAATTACACATTTAACTCCCCCAGTTTTCTTAAATAAATATTTTGGGATGCCATATTTAAATACATGCATATATATGCAGATAGTATTGCCGGCAAAGAAAAGGGAGACTGGAGTGGCTATTTCCCAAGTGGTGCAATACCCGAGGCTCGAACGCGCGACCTTTCCGATCAGAGTCTAACTATTGAGCCCTATGTATATATGTATTCCAAATAGTCAAAAGAGTGTACGGTCAAATGAGGGCGTTGTCTTAGCAGTTATAAACACCGCTTTTCCAAACACATAAAGCTGTACTTCTAGAAAATATGGCATCTCAGTGAGCCAACAGGCTAAGAGGATCTACTCAGGCAGTTGGATGTGAACGATGGTGTCAAGCTTGCCCAGACACTAAGGTCCTGGGGCCAGCTCATATGCTCGGCTTCTCCCAATGGGGAAAACATCCCGTGCTCTTATGGTCAGAAGTGTCCTCACTGTTACCGCGTATCAAACATACAAACAAAATAAAATCTAGCGGGTATATCCGTCATCAAGTAGGAAAGATGAATTGTCGTTTGGCGGAATCAAACCCATGGTAACCTTTGCAGTGCCATTTTAAACTACACAAAATAAGGTTGCCTGCGAAAAACTGGCCGTCTCTTGGAAAAAAAACGAAGCAAAGGTTTGACAGCTATTAAAATGAGCTTTCAGGACAGAACCTCAGCTTTAAACTGTGTTGTAAAACAGACTGTGGTATATACGTACTTGAAACCCACCTCGGCTTGAATTATCTCCGAGAAAACATAACGCACTGTGTGGTGTGGTCTGGACTGTGTGCGTTGTTTCACGTTTTCAAATGGAACTCGAAGAATGAGCGAAGTCTGCAATAGGAATAGAAAAGGACCGAGGTTACAAAAACACCTCAAAATGGAACTACGTCATAAAAAAAAATGACGATACTAGCTAGGACAACGGAAAAGCCCGAAAACATCAAAGTGGGACTAG